GCCCGTACCCTGGAAATACCAAAGCCCCCTGTTTCCTCTCCTGTTTTCTCAAACCGGGCTGGGGACCGTCTAAGGGGAAGAACATAGTGGAGCGGCGAGCAATTAACATTGAGCAAAGCGTCGATTTCAAATTATCTAGAAATCCCGCCTGTCGGATTTTTCAACTACAACAGTGATATTATTTACGAATTTCCACAGTAAAATTTTGTTTACAAATTTCTACAAAACCCTAAACTGTCAAAATTTGGTTGCAACTGAATCCTTTTTTACAAATAAAAAACGCGCTCGAAAACCAGCTGAACCATCGCTGAACGCAGAACGCACCACTGCCAACAAGCCTTTGTGGAATGAGTAGGCGATTGAGAAGTAAAGACCACTTTGGGCGCACGAAAACTACACTTAATTAAGGGACTCACAAAGGTGTCGTAAGTGTTGTATGTCGTAAACTTTAACAGCTTAAATATATGTTTAGAGAACTTGAAACCACAACCAACTACTTTTTAACACTGCGAAAATTCATAGTATGACTTTGATCGTACTTCGTGAACCCCCCTTAATATATTTTCTAGGCATTTAAAGTTTACGACATACAACAGTACGACACTTACCGACACCGTTGTGAATACCCCAAATAAATCACTAATCATAACTTTTGCATTCTTGAAATCGGGACACAGAATGTAAGGAAGGGGGATAGGTAAAGTAAAACATATTAAACGACATCAATTTCAATGCTTTATATTGAAAATTTTTTATTTAGAACAACAAAACAATATAAAATTTCATAGATATGTACATAAAAATTTTCATATATCGAAATCTTAATGATAATTATCATAATAATAATAATTCTTTTAAATAACTAAAAAAAATAAATCAAAATTGAAATAAAACACACCAAATCGCAAATTTCTATATACAGTGGGGAGCAAAAATAAATATTTACATGGTGATTTTTTTTTTAATATTTGCAAGGTTTTTAAAGTTAAAATTTGTTTGTTATTTTTTATAAAATGATGGTAATGGTTCGCGCTTTAACCAAGGCCATACAAGTCAAACTTTCGAACTATTTATATACAGAGCTTAGGAAAATTCAACAAATTTGTATTAAAATGTTGAACATTTAATCTGAATTTTGGGTACACAGTTTTATAGCCTGTTAAATTTTAGTACAATAAAGTGCAATTTTTATGCTGCTAAAAAATCGCGTTGACTTTTAATATGTTTAGTTTTTGTGGATTTTTTCTATATTTAATAGCTAGAAAATTACTTTTTTCGTTCTTTCGTTCGCGCGTGATCTTGTGACTTTCGTTCATGCGCGTGCTGTGATATGGCGCAGAAGCTTGGACAATGACAACATCCGATAAGGCGGTTCTAGGAGTATCCGAGAGAAAGATTTTGCGGAAGATCTACGGGCCTTTACGCGTTGGCGTCAGCGTCTACCCCAGAGGATGGTTATTTTATCAAGATATTTACATACTTTCATTATAAGTTTGCATTCAGTGTTGCCACTTGAAAATATTTTTAGGTACCAAAACGCCTACCAAATCAGTTTCCCAACTACCTAAATTTGTTCAACATTAAAACACAAAACACAAAAACGCACAAAATACACAAAAGCTGAATTCTTTTGTAAGCGAGCGACAAAAGAACGTTCAACTCGGATAAAATTTCCTTTTAGCTACTTAAGCAACCCTGCCGGTAGCTGGCAAGAAATATGTGATTAGTTCAACGGGATGTAGACTAGAAAAAAAAAATTGTAATTATGCGATGTATTTGCGTAATATACATATATACTTATTTTCAAATGTATATCATGTATATGCGAAAAGAAAAATTTCCCTCTCCACTGCCCCATTAACAATTCACAATAGAGCAGTTTTTTTTCACTTAACAGCACTACTCTTCAGGTCGCGTATGTTTTAACCGACCTGGCTGAACTCGGATAAATAGCCGAGCTTGTGTTGTTGCTTTGCGTGTATTTCGTCATTTAAGCGAGTGTTCTTTTGTAGCTCGGTTGCAAAAGAATGGGCCTAAATTAACAGCAAAAATTAAAACTACACATAATATTGTTTACAGTATTGGTTAATCATTCATACCAATCTTTAAGATTAAACAAAAGAAATTCAGGCCTTTAAATAAAAGAATTAACGTATTGTATAAAAAACGTTTGTAAAATATGTAAATATCTTTGAGATTGATTAAATTCATATAATTTTTTTTTTGTGTGTGAAAAAACAAGAGCAGACATTTTATGCATTACAATAAAAAAAATTCCCAATTCGATTCAATTTGCATACACTCACCCTTTTTTACCAATACACATTCACTTTGCAAATTGCCTATCACCAATTTTTCTTTCAAGACGATAGGTAATTTGTCGTTAATTTCAACAGCTAATCGGTCATAGCTTTGGAAAGTGAGTTTTTGTTAGCAGAAAATTGTCTGCTTAATAAAATATAGAAATAAATAAAGAAATCTTATGCGTGTAAGCAAAGTGAAAGCAGTGTTTTGAATGTGTGAACGCAAATTAAGCGAAGAAATTTTAATGTTCAATTGTATTTTCAAAACATTTTTGCCTACCAAAAGCTTCATCAAACCAACCAAGCTACCAACGGAGAATGAAGCTATCAATTTTGGTCCAATTAGACCAAAACGGCAACGCTGTTTGCTTTGCGAATGACAAAAAAATCAAACTTTACACCAACTACACCATACCGTACATGGCCGTACCAGTGATCGGACTTCTACCACATTGTGGTAGATCTGCCACTTTTTTGAGCATCTACCACAAGGTCTGAAATCTACCACATATTCGCATTTTTGAGTAGTTTTATTTTTGCTCGACATAATTTTCTTAAGTTTAAGAGCAAAAATTGTCTAACACTAAACACTAACAACAGGCAGAATGGGATTATAAAAAAACTGTAAAATATTAAATTTTCTCAATATTCAATTTTTCGACAGGAAACGTGGTTTTATTGGGTTAAATTGCAAAATATATGATTTATAAAAATAATTATTAGCGAAAATGTTAAAAAACGGCAATTTTTGTGAAAGTATTAGCAAATTTCAGTGAACCTAAAGTTTTTAAAGCGTTGTTTACTTTTACTTGAGAATTGAAAAAATCGGCAAATCCTAAGTAGCGGTTTCTGGAACGTGCCACATTTGTTCGCTACATCGTGATGTGATAAAAAGAAAAACTGGCAGCACTCCGCAAGGTTGCAGAAATCTTTCAAAATATGTTCGAAAAATATCTTGATATGGAAGGAACTGCTTTACACGTTCAAGGAAAACAAATTGCCAAAACTCAACGCAATTTTTAGTAATTTCACCCTTGCACTTTATTATACTGAAACTAATTTTTTTTAGATTCTATTTAAATTATATTATTATAAATTTATGTGAAACCTTGCAGATTTTTTTTAATTTTTGTACAAAGTTTGATCCAAAACCTGAGATCTACCACATTTTCTTGAAATCTACCACATTTTTTTCCAGATTCTGCCACATAAATTTTTTTTTTTCAAGTCCGATCACTGGGCCGTACACGTATATACTCACACATGGCGTATGAGTAACATTATCCTAATTCATAAAAAAAATTATTACACATTTTCATTTGACTATTCAAAGCGATGCATTAATACTATCGATTTTCATCTTTAGTAACTTGTTTTTTTGGCAAAGGGCATACTTTAATACAAACGAAAAAATACAAAAGATTTGTTATTGTAATTTTTTTCCTGGTTTAAATTTGATTTTTTCATAAAAAATTAAAATATCTTGGAAAAATTACCTGATATGGAAAAAACGGTATACAGATCCATAATCTACGACCCAATTTTAAGTTTACGTGTTTCGACGTTTTTTTGTGTCATTTAAAAATTTGAGATTTTCCCTACAGTGTTATTATTTTCAAATGTGTTTTGTGTAAATAAAGGTCAATTGAGCGTTAGAGTAGTGATACCTTGATGAGTGCCTCAGTTAAATGTTTTCTTGTCACAACTAAACCATTGATTTTATTGGCTCAAAAAAACTCTTTTTTTTTATAATCAGAAGCCCAAATTTATCGCAAAACGCTTATTATCAAAATCCATGTTCCCTATCTTAGAAACCGACATTAGAGGGTTAAATTCAAAGACATATCTTTAAAATTAGGAGATTTTTTAAGTTTTTAGAACATCCCTAAATATATTTTTTTTTGTGAATAATAATATAATAGATTGGCGCTTACACATGTGTTAGTGCTCGGCCGAGCTTCTCCTCCGACTTGTGGCGTGTGGAGGGACCTACAGTTGTACGCCGACCCCGAACGGCGATTGTATTTTTATAAGAAGCTTTCAAATTTGTCATTTAAGACCTACTTATTGCATCGAAGAGGATGAAATGAATTTTAAAAATTTTATATACATTCATACGTAACTTAATTTTAAAGTTCAGTTAGCCTAGACTTATCTCATCTTACGTAAGAAATCGTCAATGATTACTCAACGCGCCAAATTGGCCAGAAGTGAAAATGTTTTGGTTTTGTATTTTCCTTTTCAGCTGATTTACACTTTGCCGCTTATAAGCTGCATCAGAAAATGCCTGAATAAAAATAGAATGCGTTGGTCAATATATCGAGCCCTAACCGCCAAAATAACGTAAGCGACATTTTTTTTTTTAATTTTCTTTTTGATGCAGAAATGTATCTAGATGCTCTAGGAATATTTCTGCATCTAAAAGAAAATTTTGAAATTTTGAAATGTCGCTTACGTTATTTTGGCGGTTAGGGCTCGATATTAAATAACGTTACATAAATTAAGTATAGACTAACTGAGTCCTTATCAAAATATTTTGAGATGCGGGATACGTATACACCTATAACTATGTACATACATTTAAGTTAAACACATGCATATTTATGTATATGCAGCACAATTATTCTTTTTATTTATTTTCACTAAATTACCTTAGGCAAATATTGTCCGGATTGAGGTTTTTGAAGTCAGCTTGATAAATATAAAAAATTGTATACATTATAATAAGTCCATGCACTTATAAATAAGTTTTCTTATAAATCAAGTATTCGTTTCAATATTTCTCAAAGCATAAAAACCAACTTAAATGATTTGTGGCGTAGATTTTATAGTAAAATGTCGCTTCTTTTGATCAAATGACCACCACCTATACTGTCTAAGGTTCTCTTTGGAGGCGAGTCGAATTTCTCGTAGTTTGTGTTCTCAATATTTTTTAGACGAAGAAGTACCGACAATGCTTTTTTTGAAATACTTAAATATTTACTACAATTGTTTTGAAAATAATTTTCTTCGTTTGGTAATGTCAACAGAAGATAAACTAATTGCCCAAATAAATTGTAGTTGTCTGTTCGAAAGTCGTGGTCGTTGCACAGTTCATCTACGATTTGGAGAAAATTTTCTATTAAAATAAAAT